TCGATTCCGGTCAAGGGCATGTACCTTGGTTGCGGGCACATCCCCAGTGGAAAGTGTGCAGTAGACAGCTGATCGATGTTTCTCTGTCATCGATGTTTCTAGCTCTCTATCCCTCTCCCTTCCTCTCTGTAAAAAATCAATAAAATATATTTTTAAAAAAAGCTCAGTAATCAGAATGTGTAAAGATCAGTTCAGTAGGCAAATGATCCAAGTATTTCAACAGTTTACTTCAGGTAAGATAGAATACTACCAGTATATGGAATATTTAGCTTTATTTTTAAGAAAAAGCAAATTAAGATAACTAAACCAAATTAAGACACTATGAAAATAGCACATTATTACAATGTTTAAAATGGCAGTAGGGTTTGTGAAGAAGGAAGCACACAAATACATTGCTGGTTATTATAATTATGGCTGTGTTGCAATTTACAATAGCTAAGATCTGGAAACAGCCCAAGTGCCCATCAGTACATGAGTGGATAAAAAAGCCGTGGTACATTTACACAATGGAATACTATGCAGCAGTGAAAAAGAAGACTCTCTTACCCTTTGAGACAGCATGGAGGGACCTGGAGAGCATCATGCTAAATGAAATAAGTCAGTCAGAGAAAGACAAGTATCACATGATCTCACTCATATGTAGAATCTAATTAACAAAATAAACTGATGAACGGAGTGGATCCAAAGACATGGAAGCATGGAACAGAGCAGAATCTCTAGGGGATGGGGGTGATCATATATGCATATATGCATAATCCATGGATGTAGACAGTGGGGTAGTGAGGGGCTGGGGAGAGGGAGTGGGTGGAAGTGGGTTGGAGGGGGTTGATGGGGGAAAAAAGGGGACATATGTAATACTTTCAACAATAAAGATTAAAAAAAATAATAAAATAAAATTAAATCTTTCAATTATGAAGAAAAAAATAATTATGGCTGTGTTGCATATTATAATTAAAAGGTAAGACCAGTTCAAATGATTACTCAGGTAGACTGTGATATGTTAATATACTGAAATAGCTTTTACCATTAGGAGTGACAGATTCAAGGACTCTGCAGAAATAGGGCAAAGACTACAGAAACCGAAAGTGGAGGAAGGTGCTGGGCCCACGGTATTGCCCAAGAGAGCAGATTCTTACTCTCCTGGGGAATCAGTCTCCCAGGTTGACCCAGAATCTTGCTCCACCCATCTGCCAATAGTAGATCTAGCCCATACTCCTCAGCAAGAATTGTAGGGTATCAGAAAGTAGAGAAATCTGTCACTCTTAGAGAAATCTAAAGAAGCTTATCTGCAGAGGGTTACAGATGCATTTGATGGCCAGAGCATTCTCTCTCTTTAGGCAGGGCACATGCTTAGTGACTGTGGATGGGGAACAGGAGGGTTAGTTATAGGACTCAGGTGTTTGATGGAATTGGGGGTCTGCTATGGCCATTGCCTGTCCTTAGCCAGTGGTTCTCAACCTTGGCTGCACATTAGAATCACCTGGGAATCTTTTTAAAATCCTGATTTCTGGCCTGACCGGTTTAGCTCAGTAGATAGAGCGTCGGCCTGCAGACTGAAGGGTCCCGGGTTTGATTCCGGTCAAGGGCATGTACCTTGCTTGCGGGCACATCCCCAGTGGGGAGTGTGTAGGAGGCAGCTGATCAATGTTTCTCGCACCACTTTTATTAACACTCTTAGTATTCTACAGTTTCTCCTCTTTGTTTGTTTTTTTAAATTAATTCTTATCTGAGGATATGTTTATTAATATGTTTTCTTTATTGATTAAGGTATTGCATATGTGTCCTTATCTCCCATTGCCCCCACCCCATTCCCCCACTCATGCCCTCACCATCTGGTGTATGTATTCATTGGTTAGGCTTATATGCATGCATACAAGTCCTTTGGTTGATCTCTGCCCCTTACCCCCACCCTCCCCTACGTCCCCTCTGGGGATTAATAGTCTGATCGCTGTTTTTCTGTCTTTGGATCTGTCCCTGTTAGAAATCAGGATTTTAAAAAGATTCCCAGGTGATTCTAATGTACAGCCAAGGTTGAGAACCACTGCCTTAGACCAAAGTCCTTGGGTTAGGCACCCTGAATGTTATGTGCATTGCTTTTGTAACTCTCTCTTTGGCTGACTGTACT